TCCTGCGTTCGTTTTCCCGAGAAATAGCTCTAATCATAGCTGTCCTCTCCTTCACAGCCATCATCTTTGAAAGTTGAATTATGGCGCGAAGATGTGATATCGGACCTAGGCCTTTCTCTCTCTCCCTACATGAAATAAAGATTAGGTTCGACACACGGTGCGCCGTCTAAATGAGATGTCGCGCCAATGTCGCTCCAAAGTCGAACCAAACTCAGTTAGGTTCGGCACGTGAGTGGAGCGGCGTCTGAACTGGGCCTTAAACTGTTATTTCCAGTTTTTCATGGGTGGAAATGATTCAAGTCTTCGCACAGATGATATGGACACTTGGTTGGCACCTTTACAAAGATAGTTGATACGGGTAAAAAAGGATTTCCTGCCGCCTTGTTTAAAAAAAATGATAACACACATGTATCTTCATTTTATTCTTATTACTATTTCATACCTGAGGCACTTCAAAGGTTCCAGGAAAAAAACTCACTTTTTTGGCGGACACAATTTTATTATTGGAAGATTATTGAAGTAAGACAAGCAGTGGAGCAAACAGTCAGACAAGCTCTTTGTATGGAGTTAGATTCTCCTCCAGTCATATTTCTATAACTTTTTTTAAAGCTGAGAGTCATAAAATCACAATTATCACATGAGAACGCTCGTAAATTATGTTATTCGATAGGAAGAAATAAGAAGCTCAAACAACATTGTTGTTGGAGGTTTGTACATCGTCTGTTGTGAATATTTTACCCGTTTATTTATGTTCTTTACGTTGTGAACATTCTCCTCGTTGGTAACGGTTTGATTTAAGACAATGGAAACACTAACCATATTTTTTTAAGAGTATTTTTCGTGCTAGCCAGATCATGAATACTACAAGGCATAATTAAAGAAAGATCTGCATTCAATTTACCCTCAGGTTTAATCTTTTTTTCCATGTAGCAATACCAAAGTATTGGATAAAACTTCAAGGAGTAGTTTGAGAGAGTTTCTTTAGGTACTTCTTACTTACTATATAACAGTTTCAAGGTTTTTTTCCTAACTTAAAGAAATTAAAGCGATTGATATTGACGCCATATCACCACACGAATTGTTTTGGTAGACGTTAAGTCTCGAATTTGTTTCGATATCAGAAAAATGTCCGTAATGCTTATAAATATGCAAAACTTGCTCGACATCTTTTTCAGTTGCGCGTAAACAGCTGATGGAAAAGCAATGAAGACACTAACCACACCTTTTTAAAAGAATGTTTCTTGCCATCAAACTTTATCATGAATACAATAAGTCATAACCGACGAAAAAGTATTCATGCATTATACTTTCATGTTTATTTCTCGAAGGAATGTTTTAGCGTTTTACTTCTTTTTCTTTTAGGCTGTTGTACAATCCCTCTTTTTTAGTTCTGAATTTAATACCAGAAAGGGAAAAGCTTTTTGCTCAGTTATCGGCTTTACCACATGACATGTTATCTAAATATGCTGTTTATTCTGTCATTCAGTTCAAAAGTGACCAAAGAAAGTTCCCCCATATTGTATGATAAAATAATAGAAGTTTCCTTTAAGAGCCGACTGTACGTACTTAGATAAACCTTAACTTTGAGCTTATAGCGNGGATAGAACTCTTCTACAAGAATTAAATAAATAGTTTCATCTTGTTAATGATGAATTTACTCGTTTGGTTGAACTGGTGTATTTGATATTAAGACAGGTAAAATGCAATAGATTGTTCATCAATTGTCATTTTAACAAGTTGTTAACTATCCATCCCCTTATTTCCCATCTTCAATTGACAAAAAAAAGACATCATGTTTACTTCTGTATTTGAATGTGTCTCATTATGAAGGGAGAATCTCTAATCACTTAAGAGACTCGTTAAAAGGAAAATTCAATCACCTGACCAATTCCAAACCTTGAAATGAAAATATTAATGATTTTTCTCGTCTTTTGTTGACAAGGCGTTGAAAGAAAGCAGCAAACAAACTGGATCTTGGTCAGATGGGCAATATTTGCCTGGTTATTTTTAGGACAATCGCTACGAATTTTCTGGCGAAAGGAGGAAAAAAGATAAACACGATCAGAAAGAAACTCCAGAAAAAACTTTGCTGGCGCAAAATCTTAATCGTGTTCGGCTATTTCCTTATTTGTTATTGTCGGGGACGAAGCAGTGCGAAAAAAACGCAAAACGTAGTTAATTACAAAGTCAAATTGAAATGTTTTCTAGATAGTTTGCACCTGTGGCCAGATATTAATTTTGAATAATTGTGTACTGCATTCGACGATTGTCACAAGTTCAATATTTTCCTAGAATAATTGACCTCTCCAGCGTCAACTTCTTTATTTTTAACTTTTCGTGATAATCAATGATTCAAGCTGATCACTCGAGGGAATTACAACAGGAAAAATTCAGCCACCTGCCGGGACATGAAAGCTTGCTCTATAATTCAACAATTATTTTTACTTGTCTTTCGCAGACAAGACGTTGGAAGAAAAGAAATTATATAACTAAGGTATAATAGGTTAACTTTGGCTTATTAATATCCAAGACAATCGCTTAGAATTTGATGGCGAAAGGAAGATAACAACTAGAGAATGTAAAAGAAAGAAACGGCAGAAATTAATTGATCGTGTAATTTTTCTGCCCTCCTTTTGTTTTGTTTTAGCTTTGTCCGAAGACGAAACGGAGGTGAAAGAGCCACAAAACGTTATCAATTAGTCGAATTGAAATATTTTAAAATAAGTTTGTATCTGTGTTCGCCTATTAATTTTAAATTGTTTTATGCATTCGAATATCTGGCCGGGATTGATTGACATAGGTTGGACATCCTTAGCTAGAATCTTCTTTAATTTTAGGTTGCTGAGGCTGATAATGACTCAAGCCTCAACTTTGCACAAATGAGATGGATATTTGATTGACACTCTATCAATGAAACTTGGTCAGTTTGCCAGGTGGTCCTCTTCATGATTAGCACTACGGCACGCCGCTCCCTCGTCCACGAGTCGTGTCCCTCAAGGCCTCAAACTTATTCACGAGCCAAGTAACTCGTACTGAAGCATTGATAACGAGTGCCTGCCCGTGGGCCCAGTAAAGAGGGATTGTAGGTCGCAACGTGAAAAAAGTAATGTTCCAGGTGTTTTTATATATTTGCCTCTCATTCATATTTCATACGGGAAGTACCTGACAAGTTAAATCGACAAATATAGGCTTTTTGACACAACAGACAATCTTCTCTGACGTTTTTCAAACCAGTAAACGATGTTGAGGAAGTCTTTATAAGATTATTATGTAGGAACTGAGTAAGGTTTCAGTGATCATTGTTTTGTTGCTGTTTAGACCGTTGAATTCATAGATGACCTCAGTCTAAGAAAAAGGAAACGAACAAGGAATAATGTCGACAACAAATTTCAGTGGAGGTAGAACACAGGGGAAAACATTCCAAGGACTTTACTGCTCTCCTCCTCTGGTTGATGTGCTTCAAGAATCTAACATTTTTTCTTTTATAATCTACATTCTCCTTTCCATCACAGCATTTCTTGGGAACTTTCTTATCCTCGTTGCCCTTCACAAAGAATCATCCCTGCATCCGCCGTCTAAACTCTTGTATCGTTGTCTGGCAACAACTGATCTGTTGGTTGGTCTTGTTTGCCAGCCTCTTTACGCTACTGTTTGGATATCTGCGGTTCAGGAACACTGGGGTCTTTGTCGATACGCATATGGAGCAGCCAAGATCACAGCCATTGCATTATGTGGAGTGTCTTTGATGACGATAACTGCCATAAGCGTGGACAGAATTCTCGCCCTGCTGTTGGGGCTGAGATACAGACAAATTATAACTTTGAAGCGCACATACATAATTGTAGCTACCTTTTGGATTGCACCTAGCGTCGCTGCTTTATGCTTTCTATTAGATTACCGTATAACCATGTGGTATGGCATTATAATTATGCCATCTTGCCTTGTTATCTCAGTGGCCTCGTATATAAAATTTTTTTGGGGTCTCAGTCATCATCGGGCTCAAGTACAAGATCATGTCCAACAACAGCCGAGCCAACCAAATGCACTGAACATGGCGCGATACAAAAAGGCTGTGTACAGTGCACTGTGGGTGCAGTTAGCATTAGTAGCTTGCTATGCACCATACTTTTTAGTGACAATTGTAGAAGCTTTCTGTAAAACAGATTCATCACACTTTATAGTCATAAAGGGAGTAGCAAGTGTCTTAGTTTTCTTTAACTCTACTTTAAACCCGGTCCTTTACTGCTGGAAGATAAGTGAAGTAAGACAAGCAGTAAAGCAGACAATCAGACAAGCACTTTGCTGTCCATGGAGTTAGATCCAATTGGAGTTACATTCTTTTTCTTTATACTATCAAATTTGTCTCTTGAAGTCACAATTATTATCAGACAGCGCTCGACATCTTTTTCAGTTGCGCGTAAACAGCTGATGGAAAAGCAATGAAGACACTAACCACACCTTTTTGAAAGAACGTTTCTTGCCATCAAACTTTATCATGAATACAATAAGTCATAACCGACGAAAACGTATTCATGCATTATACTTTCATGTTTATTTCTCGAACGAATGTTCTAGCGTTTCACTTCTTTTTCTTTTAGGCTGTTGTACAATCCCTCTTTTTTAGTTCTGAATTTAATACCAGAAAGGGAATAGCTTTTTACTCAGTTATCGGCTTTACCACATGACATGTTATCTAAATATGCTGTTTATTCTGTCATTCAGTTCAAAAGTGACCAAAGAAAGTTCCCCCATATTGTATGATAAAATAATAGAAGTTTCCTTTAAGAGCCGACTGTACGTACTTAGATAAACCTTAACTTTGAGCTTATAGCGATAAACAACTAATTGCGGCCCACATATAATTGGCTTGTAGTTCAGCTGCAATTGCTATTCTGAACAATGGAGAAAAATTGGGATAGAACTCTTCTACAAGAATTAAATAAATAGTTTCATCTTGTTAATGATGAATTTACTCGTTTGGTTGAACTGGTGTATTTGATATTAAGACAGGTAAAATGCAATAAATTGTTCATCAATTGTCATTTTAACAAGTTGTTAACTATCCATCCCCTTATTTCCCATCTTCAATTGACAAAAAAAAGACATCATGTTTACTTCTGTATTTGAATGTGTCTCATTATGAAGGGAGAATCTCTAATCACTTAAGAGACTCGTTAAAAGGAAAATTCAATCACCTGACCAATTCCAAACCTTGAAATGAAAATATTAATGATTTTTCTCGTCTTTTGTTGACAAGGCGTTGAAAGAAAGCAGCAAACAAACTGGATCTTGGTCAGATGGGCAATATTTGCCTGGTTATTTTTAGGACAATCGCTACGAATTTTCTGGCGAAAGGAGGAAAAAAGATAAACACGATCAGAAAGAAACTCCAGAAAAAACTTTGCTGGCGCTAAATCTTAATCGTGTTCGGCTATTTCCTTATTTGTTATTGTCGGGGACGAAGCAGTGCGAAAAAAACGCAAAACGTAGTTAATTACAAAGTCAAATTGAAATGTTTTCTAGATAGTTTGCACCTGTGGCCAGATATTAATTTTGAATAATTGTGTACTGCATTCGGCGATTGTCACGAGTTCAATATTTTCCTAGTATAATTGACCTCTCCAGCGTCAACTTCTTTATTTTTAACTTTTCGTGATAATCAATGATTCAAGCCTCAACTTCACACGAAAGAGATGGAGCCTTGATTAGCATCCTATCAATAAAATTTATTCCAGGTAGAAAGGAATTATTTATCGCACTGTGAAAAGATGGAAATACAGATTTCTCAATATCTGCCTTTTATTATCATTTCATACTTGAGGCTCTTTACGTGTTCCAGGGAAGTAACAATTTTTTGACACCATAGACCATTTTCTGACGGATTGTACCTTTGATAAATAAACGCTGGTGAGGAAGTCTTCTCATGAATATCAGTAAAGAAGTGAAGAAGTCTTTTCGTAAATATTATTAAACAGTCAAGTAAACTTTTTCTAGACCGTTCTTTCCCTTTAAGTTAAAAAAATACTTAGGTGCTGAGACTCTGCTATACAAGCAGGTAAAATAGTCTAAAACGAATTCTGAGATATTTTGTAAGAATATAGACCTAAGTTTCCTGCCGCCTAACGATTTCTCGTTTATATAAAGCGAAATATTGTTACAGCTTAGCGATATATCTTTTGCAGTTGGCAAGATATCGCCTTCACTAAGCGTTAGATCGATAAGGCAACAATGAATTTAAACCAGCTTCGCTACATAACGAGTAGGCTTTGGTCGAAGTTCGCCGCACGTTCGCTGCACATCAGTTAAGCGATTTCGCTACTACACAAAAGAAAACAGATTATAACAAAAACTTTATTTATTTCGATACTAACGAACAAGCGAAAATAAAGGAGCGAGAAGAAGACAGCATGTGAAAACGTATATCTCAGAATTCGTTGGTCTTTCAATACTTGTTTCTATTCATATCAAAACTATGAATATTGTTATTTTTGACTGTAAGGAAGACAGAGCGAAAAATGTTTGTAACTACGTTAAAACGAACGCAGAGTAGTTCCTTGCATCATGATCGACAGCCAGATAATATCCCGTTCAGTTTGACTTTAATAACTTTTTTTTTTATTTAATTAACTGCTACTCTTTCTCGTTCTTCCTTACACTTGCAGACAAGGAATAAAAAGTTTTTTCCGGCTTCGCTTGTGCCATCTCGTACGGCACTCATACAGGGTTTCTCGCAGTCTTCTTTTCAAAAAGAGCGCGATTTAAACAAGTATTTGTTTATTTTTAATCAGAATTAATCGAGGAAGATCATCGTCTGACGAGTTATAATTCGACTAGTTATGGACTGGTAGTTTTTGAGAACCTGTCCATGCGCTGCGCTATAGACGCGCTAGAGACCTACTATGTACTTTTACTAGAGACCTGCTATGTACTTTTTCATTTTAAAATGTGACACGGGATGTTTTTTTTTTTCCTGCTCTTTAACATTGCTAGGACCTAAAAACGTTATGGCTGATCAAGATCAGAGGTTCTACGTGACCATAACTCTTGGGTAAGGTTTGATAAAAAAAATGGAACTTATATAAGGTAAAGTCAAGGTAAATCCAACGTAGTTTAATTAACCTGTGTGTGCAGATTTTCTCTCAAGCGCCGGTGTTAAATTATCAAAAACAGGTCCTGGCATCAGCAAATGATTTTTGTTAATATATTTTACGCAATTAAGTAAGCGGATATTAACTTCAGAGTCTCCGCTGAGAAAGATATATTGGAAAAATTTAGTTTCATCAAGAATTATGTCCTGTAGCCGCAGTGCTCTTAGAATCCTGGCCACCATCTTATGCTTAGAATCATTTGCATCAACTACTGATATACAAATCTATCGAGCGGCGGCTCCAACTATATTTTAATTTATGTACAGAATACTATGTAATCATATTTAGATTCAATAGCTTACGGCTGATGATGTTAACATCAGTTGTTTTCTTTCCAAATAACAAATTTGTCTCTATCAATTGGCTAGAAAATGCACTTTACAAATTCAATTCAGCATCGAAATAAAATTAAAATTATGAAACATTCATTTTAGACTATTTTAACTGCTGAGGTAAAATAGTCAGAGCCATGAATTATTAAGAAGTCTTAGCAGAGTCTGAGCAGAGCCATGAATTATTAAGAAGTCTTAGCACCTAAGTATTTTTTTAACTTAAAGCGAAAGTACTGTCTAGAAAAAGTTTACTTGTATCAAAAATTCCTTGCTTGCATTGTCCTCAGTGGCTATTCATTTGAGCTAAAAGCGTTTTAGTTGCAAACAATAACGTTCCCATGTTTGTTATGACGAAACTATGACGTAGCAATAGTCAAGCATGCTAACTTATATCCCTGCTGAAATGGATGTAAAAAGGGAAAACAGCGGCGAGGAGAGCGCTGCCTATTAAATTCTCGACTTGGATTTTAATCTAGCCGAGAGGATGTAGACATCTATATTTATACAGGATAGCCCCTTCAGTGTAGTAAACACTGGTATCAACGGGGGTCCTGTTACCGACCCATCCCACCTCAGGGGAGGACATCATCACACAGTAATCTCGTGCGTGGGAAATTAACGTCTCCTGCCCCTAACCCTGCAGGAGACGGGACCTCCATTTATTCGTCCCTATCCGAGAAGACTAGAATATCTAATCGTTTCTTGATGTTATAGAAAGGTAGCATATTCTTCTCAATTATTTTAAGACCCTGAGTGTTGGTCCGGCCGGGGCTCGAACCCTCGACCTCCCGCACAATAGTCCAGTGCTCTATCCATTGAGCTAACCGGGAGGCGGTAATACACCCATTTACGTTTCGAACGAAACATGGCTCGTCTTTAGGGGAAGAAGAGAAAGAGAGAGAAAGTCAGGTCAATGAGTTTCAAGAAGAAACGTCTACCCGTTTAGTCACTCATGCCTTCGAAATTGCGAGTGGTTCTCTTGCGGCGACTGTCAAGAGAAACCTACGGTAAACGAGAATATACGCTCCTAATAATTAAATGTACTAGGACACCGACTCAATTTGATAAAAGAGTTTGGACCGCGGATGAAGGGAAGATTCTTTATGAAGGGCAACAAGGATAAGAGAATTGCCAAGAAACGCTGTGATAGAGAGGAGAATGTTAACTACTGTGAAAGAAACTGATACCTGTACTGAAGCTCACCCACCAAACGGGGGGAGCATAGCAGTTCTTGAAATGTTTTCGCCTGTGTTCCACTTGTAGTGAAATTTAATGTCAACATTATTCTGCCTTAAATCCTTTTTCTTGAAGGTTATCTGTGACTGTTAATAATATTTACGAAAAGACTTCTTCCCTTCTTTACTGATATTCACGAGAAGACTTCCTCACCAGCGTTTATTTATCTAAGGTAAAATCCGTCACAAAATTGTCGATGGTGTCAAAAAATTACTATTTCCCTGGAACATGTAAAGAGTCCCTAGTATGAAATGATAATAAAAGGCAGATATTGAGACTACTGTATTTCCATCTTCTCACAGTACAACAAATAATTCCTCCTAACCTGGATCAAATTTCATTGATAGTATGCTAATCAAGGCTTCATCTCTTTCGCGTGAAGTTAAGGCTTGAATCATTGATTATCAGTCACGAAAAGTTAAAAATGGAGATGTCAATTATTCAAGGAAAATATTGAACTGGTGAGAATCACCGAATGCACTACACTATTATTCAAAACTAATGTCAGGCCACAGGTGCAAACTAGTTTGAAAACGTATTAATTTGAAGTTGTAATTAATTAAGTTTTGCGGTTTTTCGCACTGCTTCGTCTCCGACAATGAGGAAATAGCCGAACATTATTAAGATTTTACGCCAGCAAAGTTTTTTCTGGAGTTTCTTTCTGATCGTGTTTATCTTTTTTCCTCCTTTCGCAAGAAATTCATAGCGATTGTCCTAAAAATAACCAGGCAAATATTGCCCATCTGACCAAGATCCAGTTTGTTTGCTGCTTTCTTTCAACGCCTTGTCAACAAAAGACGAGAAAAACATTAATATTTTCATTTCGACGTTTATGAATAGGTCAGGTATTGAATTTTCCTTTTTACGAGTCTTTTAAGTGATTAGAGATTCTCCTTTCATAATGAGACACATTCAAATACAGAAGTAAACATGATGTCTTTTTTTTGTCAATTGAAGATGGGAAATAAGGGGATGGATAGTTAACAACTTGTTAAAATGACAATTGATGAACAATTTATTGCATTTTACCTTTCTTAATATCAAATACATCCAGCTGAACCAAACGAGTAAATTCATTATTAAAAAGATGAAACTATTTATGTAATTATTTATGTCGTTACTCCCACCAACGCAGCCCCAAACAGTTTCTTTCGAAACTATCAGCCTTTATTTATTTATGTAATTCTTGTATAACAGTTTTATCCCATGAAATTTCCTTCAAATTCTCATTGATGAGCGATTGCAGCTGAACTACAAGCCAGTTGGCAAGTAGCGGTTGTCTTA